ATGTCAGCGTTCAACGTTGATTCAATGTTTCTGGCTGACATTGATTCAATGTTGTTTCAATCATTCTGTGCTATCTGGGCCATCATTTTGGTATTTCAGGCATTTAACATGATGTGCCTTTTTAACAAGGTTTTCAAACCCTTTAGAAGACAGACACGCCCACTGCATGACAGGTCCTCCACTGAAGTGGAGGTACTTTTCTGTGTTCATCTTTTAATGCCAGGCTAACTGTGAAGTCTCAATATTAAGGTGGGCAAAAACAATACAAAATGAGAACGTATTACTCCACCTGAGGACATGAATTTCTGGAAGATCAAGTCCTGTCACATGTGCAGATCAGCTGTTGTGCTATTGTTCTGAAAACACTGAGACGAGGGAAGAGGAATTCAAGGTATCGGTGCATGATTGGATGCAAGATCCAACTCTTTTATCTTAGATATTTTTTCTAACCACTTTTTTCAGTAACAAGTAATCTAACGCGTTACTATTTCAAATCCAGTCAGATTAAAGTTAAGCTAAGCTGTGTGTTTAGTAACTTAAATAGAATCGTATATTCCTTCCATAGAGGAAGAGACAGTGTTTTATAAGTAAACACTGTTTACTTATAAAAAGGAAGGTGTTTACTAAGGTGTCCTACTGTTTGGCGATCAAACAGCAGGGACTGCAAAGTCAATAAAACAAACGCCACCCAGATTAACAGCTTCCAAACACTTGTTAATGGTGAAAGACTGATTTCTTCTTGAGTCAATAGCGCGTCACATGGGTCTTGTGGTTACAGTTTGCATGTGAGAGAGGAACGAAAAAGGTGCTTGGGAGCCAACCCAGTCTCTGCAAAGCTTGTACTAAACTGGAAAAAGTGCTGATTTGATCTTCTGACCAATTTACAATTTCCCTGAGAGAAAATCCCAAAGGGATTCATGAAGTTTCTTTCTCTCTCCCTCTGATTGGACTATTAAAGCTACAGTGATAATTCTCAAAATCGTTTAGTGTAGAAAATAATATTGCGATCACTTTTATTTTTCACCACTATGAGAAGCCCTCACCCCCCGCAGGCGTCCGCGAACACACACCCAGTCTGATCACACTTGAAACAGTGGAAAGTTGCAAAAACTGTCCTTTCAATGTCTTTAATTGACTCTAATAAACTACAGCAAATGCTTTCTGAAGGAATTCAGCAGTGAAATCAATGCGGCCTACTTCCTTCAAGCGAAGTGTTAGTACGTCACTCATAATCGTGTCCAACTAATATGGACTCCGCCTACTTCCCCGCCTCCTCCCTCCTTTTTTATCTCAGCAGACATTAACAACTTTGCCGCACTCAGCTCTCAGCTCTCCAATGGAACCGGTACGATCAGGATGTTTCTGCGCCTTTATCCTCTTTCTCGCTGTCCGCCTGCGTGCAGCGGACTGTGCGAAAGTGATCGTAGGAGACCCGTTCAAGATTCCTATAAGCTGCGAGCCGGGGAGGCTGCTGCGGGATTTGGGGGATGATGGTACCCGGGATGTCGCTACTTTCCAGCGTGGAGAGTGGAAGGTGAGCAGAGAGGAGGACAGAGACCGGATAAAGATCGACTCTTCAAACATCGTTTTCACTCACACGCTGTACACCGATGGAGGGATCTATGAACTGACCTGCTCCACGTCTGGATCCAAGGAAACCATCCAGCTGGAGGTAGTTTTTGCCAGTAAAGTTTCTGTGACCCAGGGTGATAAAGTGACGCTCCCGTGTTACGTTAAAACCATCGGGGGAACAGGCTTACATGGTTGGTGGGAGAAAAATGAGAATCCTCTGTGTGTGAAGAACTTCGACTCTGAAGGCTGCAGCGGGACACCTGATGACAGACTGACTGTGTCCACTGACTGGATCAATACTGGAGATCTGTCACTGACCATTGACGGGGCGCAGCCTGAGGACAGCGGGGATTATTTCTGCTACACCCAAGATGGGAAACGATCTGGAAATCCCGCTGCTGTTAGACTGACTGTCATTGAGAAAAAGTCACATCAGATTATCTCCAGCACAGCAGCACCAGGAAATGTAAGTGTCTCTATGAACCGTTTATTCTCTAGGTGAAATATAAAAACTTTAATGAGTCTAAATATCTCTATAAACTCCCCTTTCTCTCTCTCTTCCTCTGCAGCCAACTCAGAGTTGCGACGAACACACTCGGCCTTGGCAGATATCCACCTGGGTTCTCGCTGCGATCCTGTTGGTCCTTATTGTTGCTCTCCTTTATTTGTGGTATCATTGTAAATTAGGCTGCGATTGTGTAAAACTGTATGAAGGGGTAAAACGCAGCTACCCTATATAATGAAGCAAATATTAAGTAGATGGGTTACTTGTCATACAACCATCATGACGTACCTGTCAAGTCTCCCGTTTTGGCTGGGAAACCCGTTTTTTTATGCTGTGCTGTGTCTTGACTCTTCAACCCTTTTAAGCTGTAAGACTGTCAGCTCTCAGACATAAATAAAGATCTTTAAACGCCTCCCAATTTGTATTCTTTGCTTTTGGTTCATTAGTAAAACAATAGCTATTAATTACCATGCGAATACAACATGTAAATAAGCAATAAACTTGTATTCACCATTTCCTGCTTGGCAAGTGTAGAGAAGTGGACTGGGCCACACCTCACACAATCAAACATGAGGATGGCATTTGTTTGCATACAGCTATTACCCTATTATACCACATCAGAATGTTAATAGAATTCTAAGATGAAATTTTAAGTAAAACTACCTTGTAGCAACAATGTCAGATTTATTTAGATTTAAAACATTCAGGTCAAATGTATAAAGTTGAAGGGAGTCAAGGCTGTGGCAGAATGAAAGGTGTGGCATGTGAGGAAGAACAAAAGCCGGCTTAGCAGCTGTCATCGTTTTGTGACTGAAAGGACCTCAGAGATGCCTAAAGGTACAAGTTATCTCACAGTTACAACTCAGCCTTGGCTGTGAGACAAGTGAGATCTAAGTGATAGCAGTTACTTTATAAAAGTTTATAAAAGTCACTGCCATCACTGCTCAGTTGTTGCAGTTGACAAGTTGAACCTTATAGTTTATCGTGACCCACGATAAAGAGCCAATGTCACATATGGAAAAGCTTCTCTGGCTCTGCAAATATTAGCCTTAATATTGAAATTATAGTGTTTGTGTGGTGATCTGTGTTTTCATTTCTTGGTTTTTTCTGTGTTCTTGTTTCCCCTGTGAGTCTCTGTGATGTCCTGTCCTCCCTGTGTATTTAAACCCACCTGTTGTCTTTGTCTCTTGTCTGGTCCTCGTCTATGGTACGTCTGTCTATTCGCTGCACATTCTTGTTTCCTCGTTGCTCCCTGTGTTTTGGATTCTGTTTCTCTGGATTATTATTATTATTAAACATCGTCTAAATGTCTGCCTGGGTTTACAGGCGTCTTCCTCACCAACAACAACAACCACACATCATGACAGTTTGTGCAGAAGGCTTCCATCTGGCTCAGGGCTCATTTGCATTACTAAATAGTGTGAAGCCTGCAATCGTTCTTATATGAGGGCCTCAACACATTTGTTTATATGCCACCATACAGCAGTCTTACATTTGCTGTCCATACCAGCAATAATAGCTCTAAATAGATGGTGAAGAGTACAATTCAGCTAAATGGCTAATTATTTAATACTCAATTTCTAAACATCAATAAGACTCAGGAAGCTTGATTCTTGATCACTACATTTGTTCTTGACTTTATTTTTTACAGTAAACCAGGATTTACTATATATGGCAAAGGATATGGCAAAAAGAAAAAAAAGAAAAGCAATCAAGCAAAGGATGATCAGATAAATGAATAAACAACAAAAGCATGAGAACTGATCTGCATTCATAACTCCATGATAATCCTCTTCATGATGGTCATCATGGTGTTAAGTGGAATGAAACAAAGCTGCAAGCTTCACTAAATGGACCCTTTTAGTCCAGAGAAACAGTCCAGGTGTTTTTCTGAGCATTTAGACGTTCATCACCTCTACAGGACGGCTGGAGATTAATCACTTTTAGTCATCTCAGCAAATAAAAAATTTATTTAATGCTATTTGGGTTTCAGCCAATAAAGACAGCAGAGATGTAGGAGTGAAATAAACAGTCAGTATAAAGAAAAATGAATACATAATAAATAATATTAAGAGAACACTGTCAAAATAAAGGATACAAACACTGAAATGTACAGATTGTAACAGGAAAAGGACAGTTGGAGAGTTAGAGTCAAACACAACAGGAGCAGATGATTCTGGATGAGTCCAGCTTCAGTCGTTCTCACTTCAGATTCAAGATTTAACACAAGACTGAAACTAAACTAAATGTTCTCCTGCCTCTTAGTGAAATAATCAACAATTTTACATTAAGTAAAGGCAAAAATTAGAGGAGAATTTGTTAAGATCTTTTGTTTAGCTGACAGGATAAGATGATAAAAATGAATCTGGGCAGCAAATAAATCTACGTTTTTGTTTGAGCAGAACTTTGACTCAACTTTTCAACCTTCTTAACTTCCATGATTTTTCTTTTCCACCATTACCTTGTCAGTAAAATCAGTCAGTGTTGTAAACAATCAGTCAGGCATAAACAACCCGTATCTTTTACCATATTTCGGGCTAATCTTCAGGAGGATTTGTGGCCAACCTGTTTCTCTTGTTCCAGAAAGAGGAACAATCCTCTTTTCTTCCGAAAACAGGAACAAGCTTCGCTTTAAAAGGTCTGCCTTCTGCCTTATCTGCTCTCACACACGGATCCTCTCTGCCTCCTCACACGTTACCACAATGTTACCGCTACAATCGGGTGTTTTCTACGCGTTTATTCTCCTCATTGTCTCGCATGTAGCGGATTCTATTAAAGTGATCGTAGGAGACCAGCTTAAAGTTCCTGTGAACTGTGAGCCTGGCGATTCAGTATCACTGCTTCGGGTGGGGCTGGACGGTCCCCGGGATGTCACTACTGGTCAAAGCGGGCAGTGGAAGGTGAGCAGAGAGGAGGACAGAGACTGGATAAAGATCGACTCTTCAAACATCGTTTTAACCCACACGCTGTACACCGATGGAGAGATTTATGAACTGACCTGCTCCACGTCTGGATCCAAGGAAACCATCCAGCTGGAGGTAGTTTTTGCCAGTAAAGTTTCTGTGACCCAGGGTGAGACGGTGACGGAGAAACAGGCTTAACTGGTCGGTGGGAGAAAAGCGGAAAACCTTTGTGTGTGAAGAACCTGAAGGCTGCAGCGGGACACCTGCTGATAGACTGACTGTGTCCACTGACTGGATCACTACTGGAGATCAGTCACTGACCATTGATGGGGCGCAGCCTGAGGACAGCGGGGATTATTTCTGCTACACCCAAGATGGGAAACAATCTAAATCTGGAACTCCTGGTGCTGTTAGACTGACTGTCACTGAGAAAAAGTCACATCAGATGATCTCCAACAGCACAGCAGCATCAGGAAATGTAAGTGCCTCTATGACCCAAGTTTATAGGTGAAATATAAAAACTGTAGTGAGTCTGAAAGTCTCTAAAATCCTCTTTCTCTCTCCAGCCAACTCAGAGTTGTGCCGAACACACTCAGCAGATGTCCACGTTGGTTCTCGCTGTGATCCTGCTACTTGTTGCTCTTGTTGCTCTTATTGTTCTTTGTTTGTGGTGCCTGTTGAAATAAGAAGCAGTAATTTTGTTTAATGGTTAAAGGAGAGGCTGTTATACTGACCTCTGCTGTGTCTTGTGTGTACTGCAGTTGTATTATTCTGTTCAAAAAAAATAAATAAACGAACGCACGTTGAAACGCCTGTTCTCTTCAGTGCCGTGGCAAAATAAACTTTGATTCTGGAAAACTTTACGAGCTGGTACAGAGACGCTGCCATGTTTCCAACTCTACTGAAGCTACAACAAGTGCCAAAATAGACCGGGTTATTTATTTATTAGGGGTTTTTTGTCATCGAAGCTAATGAATCCGGTTCATTTTTTGTAAGCACTTGTAAATAAAACTATAAACCATTTAGTCTGGATGTGGATCTTTGTATATTTGAAAAGCTGTCATCTTTTAGACATCAATAAAATATCTTAGCTCCTCACAATTTTGTATCCTCTGTTTGCTTCACTAATTTTGAAGGTTAACCATTAATGATAATTTAATCAGAATAAAATCAAACATCTGCTACATGTGACGTAAGAGTTTCATCCAAATGTTCCATATTCCATTTCGGACATTTGAGGTGATGCTAAACTGGAGTTATGTTTATCCGGAAGAGTTAAACACAAAATCGTTGGAACCTCATCATTAGGCTGATCACCTTATTTTCTTTTCCTGTCCTTATATTTTGCTGCTTCTTCTGCTCTAAGAACAGACATAAGTGCACCTACAAAACTAGACGGGACTAGACTAAACTTCTGCAAATGTATTTATAAAGCTACTAAAAAGCCCATTTGCAGCATCATTAGGGCGATCACTCAGATAATCAAATATACGTTGCATGTAGTTTTTACCCATTTAGCTGCCTCGTCCATGTCTGATAACAGAATTAAAAATATATAAAACATTGACTATAACTGCCTTGTGTCCCATCATCAACAAACTGTTCAAGGACAAAAATCATGAGTCATTCAGACATGTGCAGCGCCCTGAATCAAACTGTCTGTTTGAACTGGAGTATGAAGTATAAAAAGTTAAAAACACTACATGGGCAGCAACAGATGGGAGTTGCTTATGTGATGGGTGAATAAAAGGGAAACTGGTTAGACAGCTTTAGTCAGTCTAGTGTGCAGAGCTGCATTTTCGTCCCCTGATGAAGGGAGAATGTGGGGAAACAAATGGAGCCATCAGGACAAGACGGAAAACGAGGTGTGGCATTTTCTGCATTCCATGCCACAAACAAAAGGGACACCAAACGTTCATCACCTCCACAGGACGGCATGAGATCACTTTTAGTCATCGCAGCAAAGGAGGCAGAGATGCAGAAGTGAAATAAACATTCAGTATAAAGAAAGCAGGTAGACCCAGGTTGAAGTGTAGATAAATGATGATTTATTTAGATTCAAAATCTCAGGTAGCACAGGAAAACTGACTGCAAATGACATCTGACAACTGACAGTAGACGACATATGACAAGGACCAGACAAGAGACACGGACAACAGGTGGACTTAAATACACAGGGGGTAATCACAGAGAACGACACAGCTGGGAAACAATCAAGGGGGAAGACAGGACAACAGGGAGACTAGCTGGACAAGGAGACCAAAAATAAACACACAGAAAACTCAAATCCTCACAGAAAAATGAATACATAATAAATAATAATAAGAGAACACTGTCAAAATAAAGGATACAAACACTGAAATATACAGATTGTAACAGGAAAAGGACAGTTGCAGAGATAGAGTCAAACACAACAGGAGCAGATGATTCTGGATGAGTCCAGCCTCAGATTCAAGATTTAACATAAGACTGAAACTGAAATGAAAAATCTGCATCTTTTGTTTGAGTAGAACTTTGACTCAACTTCTCAACCTTTTTTCCTCCATGCTGATACTTTTCTAATGTCACCACTTCCTCTTCAAGCTCTCTGCTTCCTCTTATGCTCAATGAAGCAGCAATGACTTCATGTAGACTCAATAGTGCATCACATGGATCTTGTAGTTACAGTTTGCATGTGAGAAAAATACAAAAGAGGCTGCACAGTGAGCCAGCCCAGGTTACTAAACTGGAAAAAGTGCTAACTTGATCTTCTGCACAACCAAACTTACAGTTTCATTGAGGGAAAATCCCAAGGGGATTAATAAAGTTTTCTTTCTTTTTTCCGCCTGCCTGCTAGTCCCTTACCCTCCTGCCTCTTCTTATTGCATCATCACCTCACCTACCCAGCTTGTGTGCTTGTGTCAGTAAGTGAGCAAAGACCAGAGAGAAAATCTGTGTTTATGTTGGCAGTTGAAATGCGGATGATTTACACAAGGACCTGAAGTAAATGGTTGGAACCCCAGTAACAATAAGACCTCAAAGACAACTAGAACTAGTCAGCTTTTAATTCACATGATGACAGGCTATAAAACAATATTTTATGAAAAGACAATAACTGATAAAAAGGAGGCTTTATAATCCAAAGTGAAAACAAGAAAGAGAGTACACGTGTCCTGTCAGAAAGTAGCCTATGTGAGGTCACCATTATTTAAGTATTTTTTACAAAGTAGAAAAGAGTTTGCATCCGATAGCACACATTTGAATGATTTTGTATATCAATAGCTTGCAAGCTGAGAAGGAATAATTGTTTGAACCATACTGCATCATGAGTGTAAGTGTAAGTAACGCTTGAAATCAAAACAACAAACTGTGAGGGACAGCCGGCAAGAATGTTGCTTAAACTCACAGGAATAGAGCACGGACTTATGGAACAGTTTTAATGTATGTGATTAAGTATTATAAACAGGTTAGTTAAAAAAATAAAGAATTACACTTGGTATTTGTTTATGGTTTTGTTCAAATGCAAAAAAGAGAGAAACAAATAGCCTATTTGGTTAAAAAAAGAAAAAAAACACAGGGTGATTTTTTTCCAGGTAATATATGCATTTAAAATCGAGTCATTAAAATTTCTGTGATTTATAGATGTTAGGTAGAATGTTTTGATGATAAATATACTGGGAGCAATATTTGATAGCATGCAAATTTATTAGGTTAAAAATGCTGAATTTTACAAAACAAAATATTCGCTAAAAATAAAATACATGAATTTACTATATATTTTAGCTTAAAGGGACACAAGTATTTTGGTTTTGGATGTTGGTAATTTTTGCGAAATCTGTTTAATTTGTGTTAATTTAATAGCCACTCTTGTGTTTTTTTTTTTTCTTGAGGTTTTAAACCAAATGACTACCCACAATGCTCCTCCATGTTTGGTTCTGGTTATGCAGAGTAGGAACAGATGAAGATAAAGAATACCTTCTGGCACCCTGCCAGAATGCTTTTCGCCTCTGCTGAGGAATTGTGTCAGAGGTATTCTGCCACAGCAGAATAACCCCCCTCCATGCAGCGATGCCGACAAAGAGGAAGGCCACAGCAGCCAGATTACATCATCCTGCTCTCATATACAGATCCTCTCTGCCTCCACACACGTTACCACAATGTTACCGCTACAATCGGGGGTTTTCTACGCGTTTATTCTCCTCGTTGTCTCGCATGTAGTTGATTCTGTTAAAGTGATCGTAGGAGACCAGTTTAAAGTACCTGGGAACTGTGAGCCGGGTGAATCGGTATCACTGCTGTGGGTGAGGCGTGACGGTCCCCGGGATGTCTAACGCGTTACTATTTCAAATCCAGTAATCAGAATAAAGTTAAGCTAAACTGTGTGTTTAGTAACTTAAATAGAATCGTATATTCCTTCCATAGAGGAAGAGACAGTGTTTTATAAGTAAACACTGTTTACTTATAAAAAGGAAGGTGTTTATTAAGGTGTCCTACTGTTTGGCGATCAAACAGCAGGGACTGCAAAGTCAATAAAACAAACGCCACCCAGATTAACAGCTTCCAAACACTTGTTAATGGTGAAAGACTGATTTCTTCTTGAGTCAATAGCGCGTCACATGGGTCTTGTGGTTACAGTTTGCATGTGAGAAAAGAACGAAAAAGGTGCTTGGGAGCCAACCGAGTCTCTGCAAAGCTTATACTAAACTGGACTGTGAGAAGCCCTCACTCCCCGGAGGCGTCCGCGAACACACACCCAGTCTGATCACACTTGAAACAGTGGAAAGTTGCAAAAACTGTCCTTTCAATGTCTTTAATTGACTCTAATAAACTACAGCAAATGCTTTCTGAAGCGATTCAGCAGTGAAATCAATGCGGCCTACTTCCCACAAGCGAAGTGTTAGTACGTCACAAATAATCGTGTCCAACTAATATGGACTCCCCCTACTTCCCCGCCTCCTCCCTCCTTTTTTATCTCAGCAGACATTAACAACTTTGCCGCACTCAGCTCTCAGCTCTCCAATGGAACCGGTACGATCAGGATGTTTCTGCGCCTTTATCCTCTTTCTCGCTGTCCGCCTGCGTGCAGCGGACTGTGCGAAAGTGATCGTAGGAGACCCGTTCAAGATTCCTATAAGCTGCGAGCCGGGGAGGCTGCTGCGGGATTTGGGGGATGATGGTACCCGGGAGGTCGCTACTGGTCAAAGCGGGCAGTGGAAGGTGAGCAGAGAGGAGGACAGAGACCGGATAAAGATCGACTCTTCAAACATCGTTTTCACTCACACGCTGTACACCGATGGAGGGATCTATGAACTGACCTGCTCCACGTCTGGAACCAAGGAAACCATCCAGCTGGAGGTAGTTGTTGCCAGTGAAAAGTCAGTGACCCAGGGTGATAAAGTGACGCTCCCGTGTTACTTTAAAACCATCCGGGGAACAGGCTTACCTGGTTGGTGGGAGAGAAATGGGAAGCATGTGTGTGTGAAGAATTTCAATTATGAAGGCTGCAGCGGGACACCTGCTGACAGACTGACTGTGTCCACTGACTGGATCACTACTGGAGATCTGTCACTGACCATTGAGGAGGCGCAGCCTGGGGACAGCGGGGATTATTTCTGCTACACCCAAGATGGGAAACGATCTGGAAAACCCGCTGCTGTTAGACTGACTGTCATTGAGAAAAAGTCACATCAGATGATCTCCAGCACAGCAGCACCAGGAAATGTAAGTGTCTCTATGAACCGTTTATTCTCTAGGTGAAATATAAAAACTGTAGTGAATCTGAATCTCTCATTCTCTCTCTCTCTCTCCAGCCAACTCAGAGTTGTGCCGAACACACTCAGCCCTGGCAGATGTCCACCTGGGTTCTCGCTGTGATCCTGCTGCTTGTTGCTCTTGTTGCTCTTCGTTTGTGGTGCCGTGGCAAAATAAACTTTGACTCTGGAAAACTTTACGAGCTGGTACAGAGACGCTGCCATGCTTCCAACTCTACTGAAGCTACAACAAGTGTTTAAATAGACCGGGTTATTTATTTATTAGGGGTTTTTTGTCATCGAAGCTCATGAATCCGGTTCATTTTTTGTAAGCATTTGTAAATAAAACTATAAACCATGTAGTCTGGATGTGGATCTTTGTATATTTGTAAAGCTGTCAGCTCTTAGACATAATTGTGGCTCCTCACAATTTTGTATCCTCTTTTTGCTTCATTAATTTTGAAGGTTAATCATTAAAAATTAGATAATCAGAATAAAATCAAACATCTTCTACATGTGGTGTAATCTAGAGATTCATCATAATCAAATATCCAAATACGTTGCATGTAGTTTCTACAGGCAACATAGAAAATATGTTGCCTGTAGATTAGCAATTAAGATCTAAATGTAGATTAGATCCATGAGGCAGCATGTAGTAGCTGCCTCATGGATGAGGCAGCTACTACATACATCTGTTAACAAACTGTTCAAGGACAAAAATCATGAGTCATTCAGACATGTGCAGCACCCTGAATGTGCCTGGAGTGTGAAGTATAAAAAGTTAAAAACACATGGGCAGCGACAGATGTGAGCTGGTTATGTGATGTGTGAATAATCACATCAGAGAGAGAAACATGTTAGGCAGCTTTAGTCCACCGTGTGCGCAGAGCTGCATTTTTGTCCCTTGAAGGGAGAATGTAGGGAAACAAACGGAGCCATCAGGACAAGACGGAAAACGAGGTGTGGCATTTTCTGCATTCCATGCCACTGAGAAAAGGGACACCAGACCAGGCCAGTAAAATCTTCTGCAATTATCAAAGAAGGAGACTGTATATGCATTTTCACGACCTGAATATGATTATCTGGGAGGGTCAGTGGGGAAGCCAACATTTTTCAGTGCCACTGATTCCACTATGCAATCAGAAGAATGTGCAGTTTTTCAAAGCCCACTGACTGACTGGCTTAGTGACCAAAGATCTGTAAAGACCCAAAGCCACATGTGGAAAACTGTCTGCAAGTTTATATCAGTCAACAAGTCAGTTCAAAGGTCTTTACATCATAAAAAACACAAAAATATAAGGTCATAGAACACAAAATCGACAATTATTGAAGCATTGCTTTCATTCTAAATGTTGATTAATGTTTAATTTATTATGGTACAAAAGCTACTCTGACCATTTGGGTTTTAGTCTACATTTAAAGGCACTCAGTGTTTCAGCTGTTTTGCAGTTTTCTGGAAATTTGTTCCAGATGTGTGGTGCATAGAAGCTGAAAGGTGTTCCTCCACAGCTGGTTCTGGGGATGCAGAGCAGAACCAGAACCAGAACCAGAAGACCTGAGAGATCAGGAAAGTTGATACAACAGCAGCAGATCTTTCATGTACGTAGCTCTAAGTTGATGGTCAGAAGTACAACTTAGCCACGAATGGCTGAATATTTCATTTCTAAATATCAATAAGACCCAGGAAGCTTGATTCTTGATCACTACATTTGTTCTTGACTTTATTTTTTACAGTAAACCAGGATTTACTATATATGGCAAAGGATATGGCAAAAAGAAAAAAAAGAAAAGCAATCAAGCAAAGGATGATCAGATAAATGAATAAACAACAAAAGCATGAGAACTGATCTGCATTCATAACTCCATGATAATCCTCTTCATGATGGTCATCATGGTGTTAAGTGGAATGAAACAAAGCTGCAAGCTTCACTAAATGGACCCTTGTAGTCCAGAGAAACAGTCCAGGTGTTTTTCTGAGCATTTAGACGTTCATCACCTCTACAGGACGGCTGGAGATTAATCACTTTTAGTCATCGCAGCAAATAAAAAAACTATTTAATGCTATTTGGGTTTCAGCCAATAAAGACAGCAGAGATGCAGGAGTGAAATAAACATTCAGTATAAAGAAAAATGAATAGATAATAAATAATAATAAGAGAACACTGTCAAAATAAAGGATACAAACACTGAAATGTACAGATTGTAACAGGAAAAGGACAGTTGGAGAGTTAGAGTCAAACACAACAGGAGCAGATGATTCTGGATGAGTCCAGCTTCAGTCGTTCTCACTTCAGATTCAAGATTTAACACAAGACTGAAACTAAACTAAATGTTCTCCTGCCTCTTAGTGAAATAATCAACAATTTTACATTAAGTAAAGGCAAAAATTAGAGGAGAATTTGTTAAGATCTTTTGTTTAGCTGACAGGATAAGATGATAAAAATGAATCTGGGCAGCAAATAAATCCACGTCTTTTTCTTAATATGAGCAGAACTTTGACTCAGCTTTTCAACCTTCTTCCCTCCATGCTGTTCCTTTTCCACCGTTGTCACTTCCTCCTCCTGCTCCTCCTCCTCAGTGAACCAACTCCAGCTGGCTGCTGGAGAAAGGCAGCACGCCGCTGACGTAGTAGGCGATGCCGAGGGAGAGGAGGGCGATGACCACCAGCAGCAGCAGGACCCTCCAGAAGCCCAGGTCCTCCACAAACTCCTGCCAGGTGGTACGGAAGCTGGACAGGACGCCTTCGCTGCTCTGCAGGTTGGGGTTGAGCAGAGAGTGGCTCTCCATCGCGCTGGGACACAGAGACGAGACATGCTGACCAGTGGACACCATCACACAGACAGCTCTGCTACAATTTCTACTGTTTGTCATCACAGCTTCACCTGTGGCTCGATTCTCTCTTGGTTCCAGGCTCCACGGTTTCCCCCAGAAAACTTTCCATGCTACTCGGCTGGCTAAGAATAACTAAACACCAACTATAAAGTCTTTATAAAGAGGCGACCATAGAAGGCAAATCAAATTTTTTAATTCGAGTTGATTCAGCCTAAGCATCCAAAGGTTGTTGATCCTCTATCTGTTACTTGTCACTTTATTCCCTGAAGTTGTTAGCATGTAGCCCAGTGGTTACGGCGTTCCAGTGACAAGACACCAGACCTCAGTCATCCTATGTGTTCATATACTGACCGTACTATGGTCATATTGTGATTCTCACCAAAGAGATTCTTTAACGCACATTTGCTGTCACAGTTACAGTATAAAAACCATCCTATAATAATTGTTTGTTTTTTTAATAATAAAAAATAAACAATGCTTTGCCTTGTGGGGGTGCAAGTAAAACCTGACGGCCCGCCAGGCTGATAATACACTCAGGGAAAGCATTGCTCTGCTCCTTTTCTCCTTCTTCTCAGCTGGACTTCTCTCCACAATAACAACTTTAAAGATCAACATCGTCCAGTCAACTGGCGATACATTTGCACTTAACCAGGATAGACGCAAGAAAGTCTAGCGAGTATATTAGCAGAGTATCAGTAGCTCAAGTCACAGAACGCAACGAGGACGAGTGCACAATTCAAACTTTTATCTGACAATAAAGTCCCAAAAACTGAAAATACATAGAGTATACTAGATTAAGTAGTCCTTCCACAACAAAATTTAAGACTAGTGATTAACGTATTTAAGGCCAAATTACACGTTTTAATGAATTTAAGACATTTTAAGCCCTCAACTTTAAATACATAAATGTAAGACTTTTTAATGATGCAGACACCTGTAATAGGAAAACTAAACTTATTATGTCTAGAATACTAAGACTTTTAGATGCTTCCATTCACAGCTCCTGTTTTACACAATCACTAGATAGCTTAGCTTGCTATCAAAGTATTGGAGAAAGTATTTAGGAGAAAAGGGAAATGCTGCTGTACTTCAGTGTATGTCGTAGTTACAATTAGGGCTGCTGTAAATGAGTATTTTAGTAATCAAGTATTTTATCTATTATTCCTACAATTAATCGAATAATCGGATTAAAGAAAATGATAAAATAAAACATTGGTAAATCTTACATAACAGCAGAATTACTATCGCATATTAACATCAGTCCAATTTTTCATATTTGAGAATCCCTAACAATTACTCTTCTGTACTTTAGGAAATTAACTTCTAACAATAATAGCTCACTTTCCAAGTTAACCTGAAGAAAAGTTATACAAAAATCTAAAATTATGTACAATTTAATGATAAAGAGGCAGGTTCACAAATACACTTATAAACAACGTCTGTATGTCCAGCTTTTAATGTATGTTTTCATCTTCATTCAGTTTAACAGATGAACTCTCACCTTGCCCAGCCATTTGTAGCTTTTGTGTCAATGTTAGCGACAGAATTTGACACCTTCATTCGTCACACACAGAAACTCATCTACCAGTTATATACCTCTATGATGAGCTCCGCCACCCATTTGTTGAGACTGAGATGATATTAAATAAATTTTCCGGTTTGTCCCTAAGCTACACATCTGAAGCTCAGCTGCTAGCACTGTTCAGTCTCTCCGCTCAGCTGTATAAATATGCTCTTCCCCACAGGCATATGAACACTGGCCACATAATGACCGTACTGTAGTGATATTGCTTTGCCTGGCTTTGCCCCCAAAGCAAAGCAAGCAAACAATGCTCAGCTCTGGGAGCTGCTTCCTGCTGGCCGTACTCCAGGCATCGCACCAGTCATTTTAAGGACGCTTATTAGTCCACCAAAAAATGACAAAAACCCAGACGTAATCATGAATCAATAAAATCCCCACGGGCCGAACTTGAAAATTGGACGTTATGCTGCAGATTTTGAAAAATCGAGGTACTCAAATCATTCAAGGAATCGTTTCAGCCCTAGTTACAACGTTGACCAGAGCCGGAGCAAAATAACGTCTACTTGAATTTTGCCAGAAACGTTGTTTGAAACTAACAAACAAACAAAAAAAAAACAGCTCAGATGAGAAATCCTGTTAACAGAACAACTATAATACAGCTAATAGGTGGCAAGGTTACTGTAAGTTACTGAAACTGAACGACAAAAGCAATTCGCTCTGGTTTACCACACAACATTCAGGGGATAAAGCAACTGTTTGGTGCATGAACCAAATATGACCTTGTGACCTTCTTTCAATGCTCCATGGTAACACACAAAAACCTCATGCTTCAGGGGAAGTGTGCCAGGAACAATCTAACACAAGTATGCAGGAGAAGTATCCTCTGCATACTTCTTCTGAAGTAACCAGGGGATGCAAATTAAAACATAGAGTGTGAAATAGTTATTTGTGCAGGAGAAATATGCAGCAACTGTGACACATGTTGGTTGCAAACATGTGTTTGCAACCAACATGTGTCAAATGAGATAAATACAGAGAAGCTCTGAGAGAACACTTGTTAAAAGTTGCACCAAACTGGGATAAAAGCTCACTTTTTAGAAGAACAGCCGCAAACATGCACCCAGATTTACAATGGGTTGTTTTAAATCAAAGTGTTTTCATGTGGTAGGATGGCCAAGACTTAAATTTAAGAAATTTTAGAGATCTGAAAACTGATGGTCACAGATTTGCCCCATACCACGGAGCTAGAGCTGTTTTACACTTAAGAATCCTGAGTCTCACCTCAAAGTTTATTCCCAATTACAGTGAAAGGTGGTTCTACAAAGTACTAACTTAATACGGTCAGTAGGTTCTGGCTTAATTTCCATGACCTACAGAAAATAAACATGGGCCGTATGCTGGTTTCAAAATATACCGCGATATGGAAAAGTCACATTTCACTATGATTCTTTGTCATATTGTTGCTGCAGGACAAGAGTTTTTTTTTTTCTTTTCTGGTCAGAGAAAAAGTGCAGGTCAAATCCCATCGGTCATATGCATAACATTTAATTTATTGGCCAGCTAGAGTCAGCAGTTGAGATGTTGTTCTGAGTGTTAATGGAAACCAGGCTTGACTGAACATTGCAATAACATTTCTTAGGGTTAGAAATGCTGTCTTAAATTCTTAAAAGTGTGAAAGAGCTCTCAAAACCTTCAAATGACTTTCCTATAAGGAATGTGCCTGAAGACAACATCCTAATGAATCTTTTTATTTATACATTTAAAAGAATACATGAATATTTAAATGCATCAGTGAATATATAAAGTAACAAATTCAACCATTGTCTATTTTTATTTAACTTCAGTGTACTTTAATTTACAGTCTTTTTTTCCTCCACACACTGTACTAGTCAGCTGACGAAAAAGAGTCACGCCCTATTTCAGGGGCCTGGCATGTAAAACTTTTATCGGCCATGTTCATTCTAGCAAATAAATCGAGGTTTCCATGAACAGCTTCAGTAGATAATGCAGCGCAGCACGCTAGACATTAAGATAACATTCAAATAAAACCTGATTCATATGAATCAGAGAAACAGTTTTATCTACAATTAACAAGGATAAAACTGAAAAGTGTTCTGGGCTTGTTGAGGAGCAAGAAAGTTATAGGTAGAGTTAGTTTACCCTTCCACTCTCGTTTTCTTTTGTTTACAAAGCGGCAATATAAAATATGATAAATTTAAGGAATAATATAAAAAGTAAATTTCAAACAGAGCTACTTTTATCCAAGACGATTTGTTGTTTATTTTTAGAAGCCCCTTGGAAATAGCCACACAATACTTGTTGCACGTATTAAAACTAGAGGTGTGCCGATCGATCGGC